TGTACAATAATATTTCTTGCTGGGTTGTTGTTTTTTAAATTTTTATTTTTGCTCCGTATTAGGTTTTAGTGATCAGCAGAAAGAGTTTTGTGTACTATAATACTATAATGATGCTAGATTATATATACCTTCTTTGATTTTTTATATTAGTAGTACTATCGCTATCAAACCTGAGTCAATATCTAATATTTAGATAGTTTTAATGACTGTTCCACTTCCACCAATTGTTCCACTAACTCATTAACAATTTCCAGAAGCAATAAGAAAGCCTCTTTATAATGTTCAAGCTGCTTCAATATTTGCTCTTCAGCATCTGTTGTTTTATGCTTTTTATGTTTTTTTAAAGATGTTTAAAATGTGAATGTTTCAGTTACTTTTTTGATTATAGGTTCTTCAATCTCTATATTTTGTGTCTCTGGAACTTGTATAGAGTTATCATCGCTAATATCTTTTTTTCTTTTAATTTCAGATTTAAGATTCTATTTGCTTTGCCATTTCTTTGATCCAGTAGCAATGTGAGTAGTTATTGTTTCGATATCTGACTGATAATATTCAAATATCCATTGGTAACTATCATTAGTCAACTGCGTAGTTTCTTTAAATAAGGTATATATTTCTAACTGCAGGTTGCTAAATCTTAATTTAAGCTCATAAATTAGTTCTCAAAGGGCTTCTTTGTGATCTTTAATAGACTGTGGGTTTTTGTTTATTAATTGATTTTTAGAAAATTCTGAAATTAACAAATCGAGCCTTTTATACTCTGATTATACTGCTTTGATGTTTTGTATTAGATTATCAGAATTAGTTGCCTATCTAGTTATATTTTGCTTTACAAACTTTATACTGAAAGTTTCTAGAGCTTCGTCATAAGCAAAATAATGACTTTTTTGTATTAAATTAATTGAGAGAACTGCTCAAAGATCTTAGAGAAGTTATGGACTATTTTGAATATCTAACAAAAATCATGCCATAGATTCAGCATACCTATATTTTCTTGTTCTAGAGAATAAAGGAGCAAACTCTATCAAGCTGTAAATCTGCAAATCAGAGTTTGCTATGTGAATTCTAAGCTTATGTAATTTCAAGTACCTAGCTAATTAGTAAAAATTATATCATACTTTTAATAATTTATTATCTTCATTGGGAATATCATTAACAGAAATTTCATTTTCTTTAGCATATATATGAATTGCAGCCCCAACAGCTATTCAAATGAGCTTAAGTACTTGAAATGCTGCTTAATAGTTAGTGATTTGTATAAGTCTATCAAGAAACCTTACTCTAAGCCGTATAGCAAGTCCAAAAAGTCCATACTTTGAAAAGGCAGAAATAAGAATATTACGCATTGTTTGTTTGTATGCTACTATCTCAAAATGCAATGCACTGTTTGTTCTTCATTCTTGTAGTCTTTCATTCAATAATAGATTGCTTCATTACAAACTAAACTTAGTATACCGTTCTCTGTATACCCAAAGTCTTCTAGAAACATATTAACTATGTGATAAACATGTTTATTTGTGCTTAGAGTTTTATCTGATTAGAGAATTACAACATTTGGAGAAGCTATGAATAATGTTAGGTTAATATATTTTCTAATAGCTAAATCAATATCTTTGACATCAAATGATAGCTTTTTATTAATTAGCTAGACAAAGATAGCATCTAACTTTTTTTGCCACTCTTCTATAATAGGACTTATACCAAAGAGCTCCTTATTTTCTAATTGCTCATTTAAATTAGCAAGTTCTGAACATTGAAACTGAAAGACTATCTGCAACATTATGTATGCAGTAGCATGAATTGCATCATAAATATTGCTATATTGTAAAGTACTATCCTTTGTATTAATATTATCTATAACTGTGATGTTCAAAATATTTGGATGTAAGTCGAGTCTTGTTCGAAAATCTATATCTGATATTCTTTTTTTTTGAATATGTACTTTATGATCTCTAACATATGATGCTATGTTGACTTCATGAAGAATTTTATGTAGAGACCCCATCATTTTTAGCTATCAGCAAAGGGAAGAAAGAATATGTGTAAACCATATTTTCTAGTGAGAAAAGGCAATACTGAGTAGCACAGAAGTAAAGAAAAGAAAAATTTTCATAATTCTCCTTTCATCAAACTATAGTAAGAGCAAGTTTCGTTCTTTATATTTTCTGGCCAATACTTCTTTACAGAAACTTATATTTTTAACAAATATGTTTATTATATAAATATAATACATGTTAACTTTCTTGTAAGAA